TGAGGAAATGGGAGAATTCTCCATCAACGGGAGTTGCCAGGTGCTGTAGTGTGCACGATTCCCCACCTGTAAAATGGAACAATACCTTCCTCTAGGAGGTGAGTTGATTAAAAAGCTTACAGCCAGAGGGAACACAAATCTACAGCAGCAAAGTGTTACACCCAAGGGAGATTTCCCCTTTCTATTGTTTACAGTGCTACCCTCTTGCATAAGAAAGGCAGCTGTACACAGGATTTGGGGATGCAGAAATATCACATTGATGAACACACTGAATTAGCTCTTTCCCTGTGTACCTTAGATTCACCATTTTTCTAGCCAAAGCTTCCCAGCCTTGGATCAGTCCTGGCCAGCTGTAGGCCTCCTGATTGGAGAGAAAACACCCTTTAGCTGGGTTTTGCACTCCTAATTGCCTGATATCAGGGGAGCTGCTGTAGATGCTAGACCGCAACACAAGCCCAATGCCTATAGAAAGCTCAGACAATCATAATTGCCCTACAGGTGCAAAGCATCAATAATCAGCAAGGAGAGCAACCCCTTGAAATCAAATAAAGCTAGAGACATTGGTAGGTACTAGTGTTTATCTGCTGTTACTAGTACTGGCCTACACTCCACCTGCTTCCTCTAGGATGTGCTCTCATAACAAGTAGGAGAGAGCATATACACATATTGGGAAAAGCTATAAAAAAGCTTAGCAAGATATTAGCAGATATTTGTCCTGCCAGGGGATAAGAACATTGTTATCAGTGAAGTTAACTTGTTCTTTAACAGCTGAGTTTTCTATGTGCTGTCAGCTCTACATATTGCCTTGAGACTTGTACTGCCTTCTCAGGACTCACTGGGACTAGTGGTGCATGTTTTGAGGTAGCTTGAGCAAAGGCCTTCCACAGCACAGTGCTCCGGGAGTCCAGAGACATAGCAATATTATGGTTCTTATAGTTTTGGGGTGCCCATGCACTGAGAGGATCTGTACCTTTCTTGCAGATTGCCCTCACTTTCTTTGACAGGAGGGGATGTATGGAATCAGTTTGTGTATATCCTGTACAACCTCCTTGAAATGTACCTGGAAACTTGTTTTATGATCAAAAAATTTGTGCTCCTCCAGATCTTTCTGCAGTTTCATCATCTGACTCTCTAAGCAGCTGAAGGCAAATAGAGCTGTACTCTCAGATGAAGGCTTATGGCCTTCTGCTCAGGATCATTGCAGCACTCAGAGTTGTGGCTCTTGGAAGAAGAGAACACAGGATATTGGACGGGGGAAAAATGTGCTGGAATGAAATAATAGGAGGAAACCCTGTTGAATCCAGCCTATATACATCTCTCTATATTGTGTTCCTATAGGATTCCTGCAGTGCAGAAGGGTTGGTGGAGGGTTTTTGGGGAGGTATGTCATAGGCATTTAGTTTGCATGGATCTTTCACCTTGTGAATTGCACTCTGCTTATAACTTAAATGAACCTGAAAGGTGAAAGCAATATTCAAAAGACATGCCAAGATTTTCCTGGTTTCCAGCGAAAACTCTAATGCTTTCTCAAAAGTAGTAAACAGGAAGAGTTCATTTGAAACTCCACCCAAAAGTTGGTCTCAGTTCATTAGATCCACAGCCCAAGTTCACTTCCGGGTTTCACAAATGCAGATCTTGAGGCAGTCCCGAGAGCTTCACCTACTTTCCTGTTTTTCCCATTGTGGAAGTTGCGGCATTCATAGCTGATATTTCCCTGCTGAGGCTTTACATGTGCCCTGCTCCTAGTGTGGAAATCAAATGCAGAGTTTCCTTATGTAGAATTTGGGTTTTAAAATCCTGGCCTTGGGTGGCAGAGGAAGGCAAAGTACAAAAAGGGAGATGAAGTGCTCGTGTTTAGATTCTCGCCCAGTCTCTTGCCAACAACAGAATATCTACAAAAGTCTTTGGGATAAATGGACCCCTCCAATGACCTGATATGGGTGTTTTTCTTTTCTATTTTTTAGAGTGCCAGACTCCATACATAAGTCCTTAGAAAGGCAAATGCTTCCAATCCCACAAAGAAGACAACATTGTTTACACCTATTTAAAAAATAAACCACCTGTAGCCAAGACTACAGCCACCTTGTATTTTAAAGCCATCATTCAAGATTTGTTACTTGACAGTTCCTGTCTAAAGCTACAATATATGCTGCATTTATTGAAGTTCTATATGTCAAACTAAATAACAAAAAAAGAAGGGGAAGGAAAAAAAAACCCTATGAACGCATCTCATTTTAAAAACTGAAGCAAAATCAGCAAGGAATCACTTTCAGCAGATCAAGTAAAATTGTGTCTTGGGCATGGAACCAAAGTTACAACAGGACAAGCTATCCCTGCCATGCAGGGGGGTCATTTTAAGTGTAACAACGACATCCCATGAAAGGATCGCTAATAAAGGGACAGAGCAGGAGAAATGCATTCAAAACTTTGAGGGGATACTGACAGTAAAACATTCAGTTTGAAACATCTGGCTTTCTAACTACAGGGAATCTCTCTCTCTCTCTCTCTCTCTCTTTTTGGTTTAACTCAGGAACAATGACAGCTGCAATGTGAACAAAAGGAAAAAAAAATATGCACTCTGTTTTGTTTCATGAAGGGGCAGAACCTGGGCATCAGATAGGTGGTGGGGACATAACCATACCACCGCCACGAGTGGCAAGGGAAGGGAAGGATGTCGGTGATGACTGACATCATGAAGATTTCTAACCACGCTAATGAAGATTTCTGACCATACTGTAGCCTTACCTTTCTTTACGATCCCTCTACAGAGAACAGCGCGTTAACTGGTAGATACTTTTTGAATGTTTTGTGGCTGGCACAGAAAAAAAATGACCAGGCTTGGTTTTATTAATGTTTCTAATACTGCATGTAGAAACATAGAAATGGGGCTCAAAAATGGCTCCTAAGAAAGTGTGTCAGAGGGAGAAACTTGTGTTACCCCCTCCTGCAAAAAGCTGACTTCCCAGTTTGTCTAAATTTGTATGCTGATTAACATTGGAAACTGTTACAGATATCTCAGTTTGGTTTGTCAAAATAACATTTTGTTAGCTGGCTTCCTGACCAACAGTACATAAACCAAAAACAAGTGAAAGATGGGCAAATGCACGCCATGTGTAAGACTTTGAGGCTGGTTCTATTTTTATGATTAATGAAGGGTGAAACGGTTTGCCTTTCAACGTATGACCTACTTCCCTAGTTGCAAAGCATGGGATCCCATCTTCCCAACCTAACTCGGGTCACACGCATCACCCTAGTAAATCAATGCAACCAAACCTTGAGACGTACCAAACACCTGCAATGCACATCAAGGACTAAATCTACATCTTGGGAAGGGGCAGAGGCCACACGTCTAACAGATCAGGAGGGAAGCAGGAGAGGTGACTTCTGCCTGTCTCTTGCTAACTTGCTGTTTGACACATACAAGCCACATCACCTCGGCTAGCCTGTTTTACTTCCCACCTTGGTAGTTTTTTAGGGGAACAAATAGGATTTTGCCCAACACAATAAGATTTTGATTTTGGCTGGTACCTCCATGTGCTGTGGTAATACCAAAAAATAATAAGGGCCAGCATACAGGCTGTATGTTATTTCCATCCTCAATGTTGGGTTTATGTTGGGTTTAAACACAGCATTTCATCAGATCTCAAAGCACTTCATAAAGGAGGTCCACACCATTTTACAGATGAGAAAACTGAGGCACAGAGGTAAAATGACTTGCTGAAGTTTACCCCAGCAGGTCACTTGTAAAATCTGGTTCTCCTGAGCCCCAACCATTAGTCCATGTTGCTCAGGTCTTGCACCTGACCCTTCGCAAGGAGCCTACGTCATGCCAAGTTTGAAATGCCCAGACCCTCCCACATTTGCATATGGGACTTCTCACATACATAAGGACGATTCATCCACGTGGATTGCAATACCAGATCTCCTCCTACAGGAAGCCCAATCATCATCATTTACTGTATGCCACATGCTGGTGCTGGGCCTCGCATCCAGTTTGGAAGCTTGTTGTGCATGATTGCTTTTTTTTTTCTCCTCAAAATAATTTAAAGAATAAAAGAACCTCAACTTCATAAGCAACCAGTTTAGCAAAAAGAGTGCACTGAATTCTGCATTAGGATTTGCATTCATTGTTTCTTCTTAAACCGGACCAGTAGACAGACATGCTGAATTAATGCAATTTCACTACAACCTGTCTGTTCAGAGGAGACTTCCTCTCTGCCTCCCCCTCTCCTCCCCCGGTGTAGAAGAGTCTATGCATCAGGTTAGCTTAAACCTACCATATGTGCTTTCCGTGGGTGCTGGTAGCAATAGAGAGTTGTAACTTCAGATCCAGGTCCATGACATTTTCCCACATTCATGTGCTGTTATAGCACTGAGCAGCCTTTGCCCTTATTTATCGGTTGCAAAGATGAGTTCCTTCTCCTCTGTTTTGCCTGTGCCATTACTTTTTTTTCTGTGTGTCTTTCGGTGTCCTGTGAAACCTCAGGCCAAGCATAGAAATCAAATGAGCTGAGGGTTAAATGTGGCATATTACTGGCTTTTACCTGCCATCTTCATTCACGTGAGTAGTCACAGCAAAGTCCCAGGCAAGACATAAGCGAGAGTGGTACCCTGTGTTCTGTGATGTTGCATTACCTCATTAGAGCCTGTGACCTCAGTTTTGCTACAAGACAGCTTTGGTCTCACCCCAGATCACTTGGTTTCAGTCAATAAAAGCAAACATTTGTAAGGCATATAAAAATGCCAGGTATCAGAATTAACTTTTGAATCCATTTGGGACAGCTTTTCTCTTTAGACCTTCTGAAATGTATTATATATCCTAATGAATCTTTGGCTCCTTCCTGCACCCTATAATGCATCTGCTTTCAGTGCCTTGTCTCTGATTTGTATGTCTCATTTCTGACTTCTCCACTGGCAGAGTTGATGGGTACCTCATGCTTCAGTAATTTTTTTTTCCTTCTGTGTATTAATTAACTGCTTGGCCCTTGGGAGAGGGGTTGGAAAAAAATGAAGTTCACTAAACAAAACATTTAAACATTTTCAATGGCACTTACACACCCAAATCAAGTACATGGATATTTAAGAGTAAAAGCTGAGTTGAGCATCCTTACTGCAGAATTTTACAATAATAGAAATACTGCAGTACCACCTGTGGATGATGGAGCATTTGGATTGTTACTGCAGCATGCTTTTTGTACTTTCTTTTTATAAGGGCCTGTCACAGGATTGAGCTCTAAACACCTAATTCTCCATATGTAATTGCCATGTGCAAGTTTGACTCATGGTAAATGCAAGTTGTTGCACATGTGAAATTGGAGAAGCAAACTTAGAAGCAGGAGTTGGGATGCCTTTGAAAATATGGGACAGTGGATATTCCTATGCGCAGTACAGGACATCCAAACCCCATCTAAGCAAACTTGTTGGAAGCTCATGTGTCCCCCACCTCTGGTATATCACAATCAATACACATAACATTTATTTCTTTACAGCGTTTTTATCTGATTTTGATCTGACATCAGATCTTGCCATTAATTTGTTACCTGTGTGTGGGTGTGGCTTTGGTTTAATGCATTATTTCTGCCTGCGATGCTCTTGACTAAATGGATTATATTCTGTCCTCTCTTAAATATGTGCAACCCCACTGACTGCAGTGGGACCAAGGAAGTTATTAACCCGAGGTCAGCATGTGGCCCATTGTGTTTTAAAGGCAATGTTACAAGCAGTTTTCACAGACCAGACCTGCTGTCATTGATTTCAGTGGCTAAACCCTCCTTGGATTCAGTGGAAGTAAGCTGAGGCCTGATGATGGCAACAGACAGTGTTGGGATCAGTCTAGGAAAAAATTACCATTGCTTGAAGCCCCCTGTAACAGCTGATGTATTCCAACACTGTCATGGTAATTACATGGTGTATGTGTGTGCATGCTCATCCTCTCTCTCGCTCACACACACACACACACACACACACACACACACTCCTTTTGATAGGCCTCTGGATGAGTTAAACAATCCATCATCATCTCTCTGTGGATTGTAAATGTCCTGTGAGAGACCCCTTGCAATGGACTGCTAGATTTCCTCCAGCAGCCTGAAAAACAACAGCTGTTTCACACCTCTGTAACAAACTGTGCCTAATACCCACCCATTGACATCAAGTATACAATCTTTCTACGGTGAGCCAGATCAAAATCAGTTCAGCTTTTAATACACAGACACACACACACACACACATACCCATCTATATATATATATATGTATGTTGTGCATATATATATACACACACACACATATATATATATCTCTACCCCTGATGTATATAGTAGTTTGTTGTTATAGCTTATAAAAGTGTACTTCCAATCCTAGAAATGATGACTTGGGCCAAGGGTTGTTCAAATGACACAACTGATAAACCCCTCGTGGTTTAGTTTTTCATTCCATTGCCTATGTGATGCTTTTTCTTTCTTTGATCACTGTCCTGCAGCATTTTTCCTGCTTTTTCTGTGTTGTTCCTGAAGTCCACTGAAGCAGAGTATTGAGAATCGTCTCTCAAATTAGCCTTGTAGAACAGCCAAAAAAAAAACAGTCATGACTATTTGCTAGCCTTTTGGCATGGCAAACACAGGGTTTCCAAAGGGCAATAAGCTATTGTGCACAGGTCAGCAGTATTAATGTCAGCAGGGGTCACAGTTCTGAGATCGCATTTTGAAATGCCTAGAGATGTATGTGCTAAACCTTCCATCGTAATCATAGTGGGAAGATCCTCTGAACCACCAAATTTTCAGTTCAACTGATTCTCTTGTGAACTGAACTGGCCAGGCCTTCATTCTCACTGAGGCTGGGTTCATTAAAGAGCCTCCTAGCCTTTGGCGACCCAGTAGGGTTTCCTTTTCTCCTTTGCATCAGCACCTGTACATATTTTGCTCCCATTTTTGTGTCTCTTCCCTAAAAGAACTGTAAATGAATTGGCAGAATGACCCTTTGATAAACACTGAACATGTATATGTATTATATGTATTAACGTGTAGATGAGAATCCTTACTGTATGTAAAGTTTTATGAATGGTTATTTTTTAATTTATGTATTTAATATAGGATTCAATGACCTCTGGTGTTTTAGTTTGTATAAAAAAATAAAACAGGAGCATTTTTAAAAACTTCACTTTACATTCACTGACATGTTCAGAATCTGTTTGGTTGGCACATGGTAGCGATGAGGGGGCAAAACACTGCTCCTCTCCCTGCTCATTCCCACTTGCTAAGAGGAAGGCCTGGCTATTGTAGTAGGGCAGTCAGGTGTTGTGATCTGGTAACATAACACAGGCTCAGTCCTAACCTTACGAAGGGGTTCACTAGTGGCATAACTTATCATTTTGGCACCCTGGGCAATGGGGTAAGGCAGGGAGGTGGGGGAAGGAGTGATGAGCACTTCTTCACATACATGAGCTGCTGCTTCCTCAACACAAGCTCCCCCAACACAAGCTACAGCAGTGGTGGCACCAGCTCCCTGGGGCTGCCATTCTGGTGCCCCCTCTAAATTGGTGCCTAGGGCTGATACCTTGCTTGCCACCCACCCCCACCCCCCAAGTTACACTGCTGGGCTTCGCCAGATTTTGTACTTTAGTAGAGACATGGGGGCTAACTGTTTCAAAAGATAGGGGAGGGAAATTCTTTTCTCCCCAACCTATGTGTAGACCAAACCTGCTAATATTTTGTCTGCAAGTGGAAATTGTTTCCCCTCCTAGGCTTGTACTGACAAGACAGACAGGAGCGGGCCGGCAGTCTGTTTGTCTTTAGAGAATCAAAATCCAGTTCTCCAAGGGGGTTTCCGCAAGGCCTTTCCGCATGGTCACGACTACCCAGTGCTCCTGCAGGGAACGCGTGTTGCATACCTCCTGTCACCTGTCTGTGCTGGTGTGTGCCATGGAAACATCACACAAGCACGAAGATAAGCAGCTATTGGAAAACTGGTGCCATAATCCTTTTTCTTTTTAATACTAAACACACAGCCTGTGGCAATACCTAGGCCTATAGCATAAATAACTCAATCGCATGGTAGCCATGGGGGTGTTGTGACCGACTGCATTGGTGGGAGGAACATCCAATAGTCCCACTCATACAATCCTGCTTCTCCCTCATGTTGCAGGGTTGTTGGTTGTAGCCGTGTTGGTCTAAAGGACATCGACAGGCAAAGCTCTTTGGGTAGACGTGATATCTTTTATTAGACCAACTGAGTAGTTGGCAAAAAGTTCTTGGCAAGCTTTCAGGAGCAGTCGCCCTTCTTCCTATGCCAGCAGAGACTCCCTATGCCTGAAGAAGGGTGACTGCATCCGAAAGCTTGCCAAGAACTTGTTTCCAACTGCCCAGTTTGTCTAATAAAAGATATCACATCTATTCAAAGAGCTTTGCCCACTTCTCCCTCAGACATTTCCCTTGGCAGGTTTATCCTTGGCAGGATTTCATTATCTATAGCTATGACCTAACTAACTTCTTGCCTTGAGTGAATCGGCCACAGGCTTCCCAAGGCTCCAATGGCTTTCTAATAGGCCCATGAAATTTTTATGGAGGTTTTAAAACGAAACTTTCCTTTTGAAGAGTACATTCCATTAGGGTCAAGGTTACTGTCTCAGCTGCATGTTTCTGCAGCACCCTCGACACTCACATTACTGCTGCATAGTAAAGAGCTCCGTGACTGTACTCTGAAGTGACTACAAAAAAAAGAGCTTAAAACATCTTGGAGCAGTACGCTCTCATTACGGCTGCAGGCAGTGACATCTATAACCCCCACACAAGCAAATAAATCCTGGGCAGTTTTATATGCTCAGGGAGTGTGATTTGAGTTGCAACGGATTATGACAACTTTTTATAGCAACACAAATTATCTGATAAATACTGTAGGCTTGTTGTGGTATCTCAAAACATCTAGCATTGTATGTGGTGATAAACAACTGGAACAAGGGCACTACTTTTTCAATGGTTAATAAAAACCATAAAAGATAAACATGTTTATACTAAATACGGTGTACTCTCATTCTCTCTGCTTCTGCATGTCTAATCTACCTGTTCCCCAAGAAAGCAAAATCAGCAATTAGCTGCTAGCTCCCTTAAAGTCTTAGCAGGTTTCTGGTTTAAAAGGAGATCATTAAGTTGAGATGTACTTTAACTCGTGGTATTTGACCACTGAAATCTGGAGTGTTGTTGTGACACATCATCATAAAACTGGGTCTATTTGAAAAAGTGGGTATTGGTTTGGTTTGGGGTGTCAATGATCTCAGCATTCTCAGTATTCAGGGGTCTTGGTTTTGGGTATTTCTTCTAACCACCTTTATAGCAAGGCACCATCCCCGTATATGTACCCTCATCTTTTCTGTTGTGGTGTTTCTAATCAGCGTTGGCTTTCTCATACACCCAGTCTCTGCCATGCAGAGATTCAGCACCCAAATAATAGTATATAGCCCTTCCTCTTGTCTCAGAGTTATATCCTATTTATATGCAATCCCAAACATGACTACAGGAAACATCAAGCTGGCATTAAAATAGGCCATGAATATGGCTACGTCAGTGCTTTGATGAAGTTCCTAAGCCTCATCACACGATGGCAGCATTCTTCTTCCAGCCTTTTCCTCCCCCTCCCCAGATATGGGTTGGGTCATTGGCAGTCTAAAGAAGTCTGTGCAGCTTTTCTTTGTGAGTTTCAAAACCCAATTTCACCCCTCAATTTCCTCTCTATATTTGTTCCTCCCTTTAAGTGTACGTGCAAAAGAGATGTTAATCACAGAACAAGTCTTGGCTTATTCTGCTGCTATATTTGGTCACAACTTGGGAAAAAAAAGTCTACTCAATAGACTCATTTTTGCAAGGATCTACTATGTCTCATGTCGGAGACTGGGCTGGCTCAGCAAGGGCAGATGCAGTAAATTAACTTCCAGATCTAACAGACTCAGCATTCAGAGTGAGCCTTGGAACTAATTAATTACACATACAACAATTCAGTCTTGCTCTTGTGCCAGATGAAAAAAAAGGGGGAAAGGTCAATCTGAATCACTCCCTAATTTTTAGAATGTGAAGACATGATTTTTTTTGCCTCTGTTTGTAGACATAAAAGAATAATTTGGAGTGTTTAGCTTTTTTTCTCCCTGTGGGATGCTCTTGTGGTAGTGTCCTCCCTATGATTTTTCTCAGACTCATCCACTTGAGCCATTAATACACTTTGTGCCAGGTTATAATCTCAGTTACACTTAGGGGGTAAATACAGAATGATGCCTTTGGCCACGTCCAGAAAAGTGCAGACTTTTGGTTCCCCAGGGAATGCCTGTGGCACATGGCAAGTGATCCCAGGGGCAGTAGGGGACTCCAGCAGCTTACCTGGGGTCCGGGAGGCCTCATGGGGCTGCAGCAGCAGTGATCCTGCTGGGCAGAGCCTAGCTGGCAGCCACAATGTGGCTCCAGGTGGCCCAGATCCAGTTTTCAGCTGCCCGCTGCCCATTCATGTGCTGCTGCACGTTTTTTTTCCCACCTTTTTTTACCCCTGGATATTCAAGGGTCAAAAAAATCTGCGGAAAAAAGAATGGACCAGCGCACACATGGGCAGTACACCCTTGCAGGACAAAGGTCACCTGACTGTGCAGTATGTGGCACTGCAGACGTGTTTGCGGCACCACATACCGCACAGCTGTGATCGTCTGGATGTGCCTTTGATTCTAAATACTCTGCATCTACAGTAATGCAAATGAGACCAGTGTCTGGCTTACTGACCTTCCAACTGTGTGGAGCTGAGTAAATAACCCAGTGAGTCAACTGATCCTCTTTCTGTTTGTGGCCTGTATACACAGATCACACCTTCCTTAGGTATCTTCGTTGTTTAAAATTATAAGCCAAATAGCTTCTGCAACTAATGCTTGGTGGTCTGGAGCTTGTTTCTAGTCAATGCATGTGATTATTCAACAATCAGAATCCTAGCTCTTTTGAATGAGCCCTTGTGTCTTGTTTCCTACTGGATGAACCTGACTTGGAAATTAAGACTTTGAAATACCACATTCCCAAATTAAGACTTTGGAATACCTCTTTTGTGTCTCTTATGGTATTCTCCAGTACCCGAACTCATATGTTGCATGCTGGAACACTGGTGGGTCATAAACACAGATACGCAAAAGTGCAGATGAAGCAAATTTACATACTATTTAAATAACCATTGTTGAAAAAATGTTTAGCAGTAGCTTATCTGGTTCTGGAAATATATTAATGAAACCAGTGATAACAGTGATGAAAAGAGGAGCATTTTTCTCCCACTGTTGCTAGGGACTCACAAGTCTGAGATATAGATAGTATTTTCCACTATCATTCCCAAACAGTGCACAAGTACATTTCATTTGAATAATGTTCCAAAAGGGCCACAGACTTATGATTTAGATACTTTAATACCTTCTCCTTCTTCTCTGCAGAGAAAAGCCTGTAAAAGCGATATATGGCATAGCTGAAAATGGGTCTTAGAGCTGGTAGTACTAATCAGATGATTCTGTCTGCATGTTACTTCTGTGTATGAAGAATGGACATCTGTTACTGCTGTGGACTGTACTGTTTATGATAAAGTCATGCCGTTGGGTAAACACAGTTTCTGAAAGAACTGAACCAGGTTTGTTGGGAGCAAACGGAATGAAACAGAGTTTCAGACTTGGATTCTTTGTAGGATACTGTACAATGTACCAGACGGACCCAGGAACTAACCCTTTTATTTAAAATGCACATTACACTGTCTTATACCATCAGCTGACATACTGCTGCAAAACCACCTTATTTGGCATCCCAGAGGCCATAATAAGTGAGATTTCTGTAGCCAGCAGAATCCTGGCATCTTCCTGATGGCCCTTCTGAAACTCTCACATGCTTATAGAGTCGAATAGGGATGACTGAAGGCAGGATTTGTGGGAGCACTTACCTGCCACTGAAAGTCAAAGAGCAGACACTGAACTCTCATAGGTGGTTTTAAAAAATCTTACTTTACATCTATGTACATTCACATCCAATGTTTCCAAAGCAATCAAGGAGAACAGGAAAAGTTGTCTTGGCCTTTTCTGGGAGGCTAAGAATTCAATCTAGTAGGATGAAGTCATGTTTTCCTCCCACAGAACAGATTTGCTGTGACTTAGGCTGCCAATTTAACCTGGGCTATTCAGCAGCAAGAAACCTTTTCCAAAGGGAACTCTGCTTCTCACATTAACAAACAAGAGATACAATGTTCTTGCTCAAATTACAATAAGCTGTAAAAGAAAGCTTAGCCTACTTTAGAACTGCTACATTGAGTTTCATCCCTGCTAACAGCAGTAATTTCCCCAGTTGCTTGCCAAGGAGCTGTTCTACTGTAGTTTTCACCTAGAACAGTATTTCTCAACTTTGTTTGAATCAAAGCACCCTTCAGAAAATGCCAGCTTATAGTTTTCACTTTTTTTTTTGACTACAGAAAAATAATTGACCAATTCTTCTGTTGTAAAAAAG